AAAAAAAAAAAAAAATGACACCCCAGTGTAGCGTCAGATGCACGCCTCAGTCCCACCTCATGTCCCTATCCATGAGTCCAGCAACGGCCTACCCGCTGCATAAATCAGAGGCCAGGGGAGGCGGGCTGGCGGCTGGGTTTGGAACATGCTTCGGTGACTCAGAGCAGCAGCTGGAAATAATCTGCTGCTGTTGATTTCACCGCCTCCCGTTAGGCAGCTCGGGGGACTGCTGCAGCCCACTGAGTATTCCAGTGCCAGAGAGCTGGGGAAACCTGTACTGAAGGTGGCGGCCGCTGGTGAAGCCACAGGCGGGACTCAATGGCCTGCAGCAAGGCCTGACCATTAGCATCCTTGGCAGGACCCCTTGAGGGACCAGGAAGGATCTGGGAAGGCGGCCTAACAGTCTGGGAGCTGAGCACGCGGCAGGGCGGATGAGAGTGAGGCCATCTGGCCAGACTGGCTCTCAGTGCAGCTTTAACACTTCCCAGCTTTGTGACACAGGGGACATGGGTTTGCTGTTCCAAGCCCCTGTGTCCTCATCTATAAAACTGTGTAATTGTGCCTACTTGCCTACTTTTTAGGCTGGTGTGAGACCCAAATGGGATAATAATATGAATATCAGCTCTGAACACGGTGCCCGGCTTCTAGTTAAACGTCAGCTACTGCCACTGCAGGGTGTGCGCTGGTCAGCACTGGGCACCGATGGCACGCCAGGTGCCCTCATGGCAGTTCTGGGTTGCCCTGGCTTGTCTCCCTTTGCTTGAGCCCCCACCCCACCCACCTGTGCTCCACCAAGAAACCTTGGTGGCTGGGAAGCTTGGGGACACACCACATAAATGGTGGCTGTGAATTTCGTGCTGCAAATCAGCGGCCTGTTGAGAAGCTGGCGGCAAGGGAGTCTTTGAGTCCACTCCAAATTTATGTGTTTGTCCCATCATCCCAGATGCAGGTCAGCTCTGGTGATCATTTATCAAAGGAGTTTTATGAGGCCCCGAAGTTCATGGCAATATTCTTGGATTTGGAGATGGTGAGGGCTGGGGTGGGGGACAGTGTCTCCCGGAGGCGGAGGCTGGGCTCTTCTCTGCTGGGTTCTTTTTCAGGCTTAGGGGAGCAAGGCAAGGTTTTAGAGCCTCGGATTCTGCTCTGTGAATCTGTAGCCGGCGCTCTGACACTTAATGGTGTAACGCAAACCGTGATTGTTTAAAAAGGCACTTTGCCGTTTACAAATTGTTTTTGCCTAAGTTGTCTCAGACCCCCGAGATAGAAAATGCTCCACCCACTTCCAAGTTCAGAAGCTCCTGTATTTAAAAAGGCAATGAGGCCAGGCGCGGTGGCTCACACCTATAATCCCAGCACTCTGGGAGGCAGAGGCAGGTGGGTCACTTGAGGTCAGGAGTTTGAGACCGGCCTGGCCAACATGGTAAAACCTCGTCTCTACTAAAAATAGAAAAATTAGCTGGGTGCCTGTAATCCCAGCTACTCGGGAGGCTGAGGCAGGAAGACTGCTTGAATCTGGGAGGTGAAGGTGGTGGTGAGCTGGGATTGTGCCACTGCACTCCAGCCTGGGTGACAGTGAGACTCTGTCTCAAAAATAAAATGAATAAATAAAATAAAAAGGCAACAAGACCCTAAGACAGGGTTACCAAACGTGCTGCATGTGTTTAATATTTATATTTCACGGCCGGGCGCGGTGGCTCAAGCCTGTAATCCCAGCACTTTGGGAGGCCGAGGCGGGTGGATCACGAGGTCAAGAGATCGAGACCATCCTGGTCAAC